AAATAATTAATTGAATAATCTATGAATGCTTTGGTTAAGAAAAGACTGAAAACATCTGGTTAAGAGAAAATATTTTCAGAGCTCCATATTTTCTAATCTAAATATAAATATTTTCATTAGCTATCTCTTTCCTAGTGAGTTTATTTTTGCTGTATTCTTATTATAATCAGGATGTATTTCCTATAATAGTAATAAAATGCTATTATCCTCTAACATTAATTTAATTTTATACATGTATATGTCATGTGTTACATGAAGAAACACAAACTCTCTGTATGTATGTATCATAATTTAATTTTTGTACAGCCAGTCACTTTACAGACAGGTAAGAAGTTAGGTTCCCTGCCCTAAAATGCTTTCAGTCTAAATAGATTTCATGAATAGGATGGGATAGAGACTATTTAAAAGGTAACTGTATCCAATAAGGTGGTTTAGGACAGGGGTTCTCAACCTTTCTTTTCTGAGGCCCCCCCCCAACATGCTATAAAAATTCCACGGCCCACCTGTGCCACAACAACTGCTTTTCTGCATATAAAAGCCAGGGCCGGCATTAGGGGGTAGCAGGTAGGGCCGCAGGGGGCCCCGCAAAGCTACGTTGCTCAGGCTTTGGCCTCAGCCCCAGGTGGCAGGGCTTGGGGCCCCAAGCTTCAGCACCGCACAGCGTGACGGCAGCTTTCTGCCTTGGGACCCAGCGAGTCTAACACCTCCCCTGCTTGGTAGACCCCCTGAAACCTGCTTGCGGCCCCCCAGGAGGCCCAAGACCCCTGGTTGAGAACCGTTGGTTTAGAACAATGTTTACTGTGAATTAAGGCCTCTGTCTAGGGTGACCAGATAGCAACTGTGAAAAAACAGGACAGGGGGTGGGAGGTAATAGGCGCCTATATAAGAAAAAGTCCCCCAAAAAAGGACATCTGGTCACCCTACTGCTGTCCAACAAAGTACCTTGAGCACGAGCCTGAAATCCAGGGGCCACTCGGGTGCTTAAGGTTAGGTGTGGGCTTAGGTAACTTTCTGAATTGGGGCCTATATGATTGGGAGTTTTAACTACACAGTTTTTAGGGTACAGGTTATTTGAAGAAACATGTCATGTAGAAGAGGGGAGAGATGTGTCATCCTCTCTGCGTATCCTGGCTAAGTAGAGAGGACCCTGAACCTGTCTCATTCCTGAAGATCCTACCTCATCCTCATGAACACTATCCTTGTTATAGGAGAGAGAAGCTGGCACCTATCCCTGTCCCTGAAGGGAGCTATAATCTCCACAGCCTTCCCTCAGCAAGTAACCTATGGTGCAAAAATAAAGGAAATTAATAAAATTGATGCCGATGGGCTGTAAGGGCTAAAAATGCACCCAACTCCCCTGAACAGCGACAACCTGAGCTACTGGGAGTGTGGTGACATCCGAGGAGAGACAGAGAGGAGAAGTGGGAGAGGGCCCTAGCGACGAGGACACCAACTGAGGACCCAAGGTGCTTTTGGGTGACGATGGGATGGATGAGGGGATTCAGGGGAGACTGTGCTATGCTTGTGATGTGTGTCTTTCCTCCAACTCCTCAGCTCAGGGCTGCTCAGTCTCTTTACTGTCTCTGCTGACATATCTCAGGGTAGAAGGCTTCCAAATCTGAGAAGTCCATTTGGAAGGTATTTGTGACAGCACAACTGACCCGGGGGCTTGTAGTTGGTGAGTGCCATCCAAAAAACAGGCGGTTCTAGTTGTAGAGGGACATGGCCACAGTCAGTGCAGCCCCAGGACAACCGCTACTGTAGGGGGGTCCCAGCCACAGGGTTAAGCTGCGCTCCCATCGCAATGGAGACCCAGTGTGTGATTGTTGTGTCAGAAGATACATTGCCTCTGGCGAGTTATTCTCAAATTCCAAATGAAGGCCAGGTGGACCTATTTTGCACAAAAAAAAAGTATTTAAAATCTTTTGCGTCAAGCAGTTCAGTGCTCCAGGCTCTGCTGGTTTCCTAGTGGCTTGGTGAAGGTGGGGAGCAGTGACAGGGTAGCAGGAGAGCATGGTGATTAATCTCACATTAACATCAATGTGTCTGTGCCTTTTTTCCTCTCTCCCCCTTTGATTGTCTTATCTATTTGGCAGGGCTGGTCAAAATTTTTTGCATGAAGTTTTCCCCTTCCCCCCCGGAAAATGGCTTTAAAAAAAATTAAAAACTGAAGCCACCATTGTAGAATTTTTTAATTTTTTGTGAAAGATTTCTTGATGTTTTTAATCAACATTTTAATCCAAACCATTATCAAAATGGGTGTCATCATTTTTATATACTGAACGCCAGATTTTTGATTAACACAAAATTTTGTTTACTGAAAACCCAGTTTCAGAAAATTCAGTTTATTTTTCTAACCAACTCTGCTAATTAGCTGGTAGGAACTTTGTGCCAGTGTCCATCTCTTACTCTGTGTTTGCACAATGGAGTCGTGATCTTGGCTGGTGCCTGTAGGTGCTACAGTAACACAAATAAAATAACAACACAATAATAATAATAATAATATACAGGTGCTGAATTACCTTTAAGGAAATACTTGCTGCTGGAGATTCACAGGTTAAGAAGTAATCCTACCTACTTTGTTGCTCGCTCAGTCTGTCCATCCATCTACTTATGTGGCCCCCGTCGCTGTCATAGAATCATAGAATATTAGGGTTGGGAGAGACCTCAGGAGGTCACCTGGTCCAATCCCCTGCTCAAAGCTGGACCAACACCCACTAAATCATCCCAGCCAGGGCTTTGTCAAGCTGAGCCTTAAAAACCTCTGAGGATGGAGGCTCCACCACCTCCCTAGGTAACCCATTCCAGTGTTTCACCACCCTCCCAGTGAAATAGTGTTTCCTAATATCCAACCTAGACCTCCCCCACTGCAACTTGAGACCATTGCTCCTTTTTCGGTCATTTGCCACCACTGAGAACAGCTGAGCTCCATCCTCTTTGGAAACCCCCTTTAGATAAAAGAAAAGGAGTACTTGTGGCACCTTAGAGACTAACCAATTTATTTGAGCATGAGCTTTCGTGAGCTACAGCTCACTTCATCAGATGAAGCTGATGAAGCAGATGAAGCTGTAGCTCACGAAAGCTCATGCTCAAATAAATTGGTTAGTCTCTAAGGTGCCACAAGTACTCCTTTTCTTTTTGCGAATACAGACTAACACGGCTGTTACTCTGAAACCCCTTTAGATAGTTGAAGGCTGCTATCAAGTCTCCCCTCACTCTTCTCTTCTGTAGACTAAATAACCCCAGTTCCCTCAGCCTCTCCTCGTAAGTCATGTGCCCCAGCCCCCTAAACATTTTCATTGTCCTCCGCTGGACTCTCTCCAATTTGTCCACATCCCTTCTGTAGTGGGGGGACCAAAACTGGACGCAATACTCCAGAAGTAGCCTCACCAGTTTCGAGTAGAGGGGAATAATCACTTCCCTCGATCTGCTGGCAATGCTCCTACTAATACAGCGCAATATGCCGTTGGACTTCTTGGCAACAAGGGCACACTGTTGACTCATATCCAGCTTCTCGTCCACTGTAATCCCCAGGTCCTTTTCTGCAGCACTGCTGTTTAGTCAGTCGGTCCCCAGCCTTTAGCGATGCATGGGATTCTTCCTTCCTAAGTGCAGGACTCTGCACTTGTCCTTATTGAACCTCATCAGATTTCTTTTGGCCCAATCCTCCAATTTGTCTAGGTCACTCTGGACCCTACCCCTACCCTGAGCATAATATCTGTCTAAAGCATGTGCAAGTCGATGCAATACAGTGAATCACATTATAGACATCAGTTACCCTTCTGGGAATGACATCACATTTCCAAACTATCAGCCGTTCAGGCACAGCAAAGCAATTCTTTCAAGAAACCACTTTTAGGAGCTATGTCCAAAGAATGACAATCAAATAGGACAGTGCCTGCACTTGCTCAGTAATACTGGCCTCAAGTTCAAGAGCAAATCTACCATATACTCCAGGTCAGGGTTTCTTTGCTTGACCCAGATTTTCCATTTCTAGTAGTCAGCATTAACAATCCAGCTCGTAAGCCCGTTTTCACATAGTTGGAGTTGCGTAACTTAGGTCAACTTAGCCCCTTAGTGTAGACCTGCCCTTAGTGTCAGGAATCAGGGAGTCAGTCTCCAGGCTACCTAATGAGCGCAACTGGCCTGCAGGAATCTGCCTGATTGGCTACACTGTCTGATTGGTTGGAAGAGTCAGCAGACCATGCCCATGGTTGGTCCCAGCCTTGCCCTTGCCTTGGATCCAGCCTTAACTCACTCCAGGTTATCCAGCTTTGACCCTTGGCTCCAATTTCTGACTTCTGGGTCTGATCCTTGGCTGCGATTCCTGATTTATGGCTCTGGCCTCTGACTCTGGCACTTACCCTGGGCTCCTAATTCTTGCTACCGACGCTGGCTCCAACTGCAAGGCATGACTCCTGCTCCAAGCACTAGGCATGACCATCCACATCCCAGTCTCTGACATGCAGCACTTCTGAAAATCAGGTCAATTAATGGGGAATCCAGCTCTGAGATAGGTCAATGGAGAGACTTACCTTGACATGGCTAGGAGCTAGATTGAATCCTTATTTGGGTGCCACAATAATGATTTAGGAGCCTATTAGGCTCCGGTTTGTGAAAGTCCTGGCCTAGCTGTATAAAATGAGGGAGTGTGATCTAGTCGACAGAGCAGGAGATTGGGAATCAGGACTTCTGGGTTCTTTTCCCACCACCGCTATTGACTCATTATATAAATTTGGACATGGCACTTAGGCTTCCAAAGAAAGTGTTAGGCAGAGTTTTGGGTGCCTGACTTGAGGCAACTGAGGCCTGATTTTCAGAGGTACCGTGGATCATTCACAAACCCTACTACCTGGAATTTGTGGGGGCTAAGCACCTGTAATTCAGCCCTTCAGTGCGTCATGTTATTCAGTGAGCCATGTTTTTGTTAAGCAGAGGGGTTTAGCGTCATCCCCCAGTAGTTAGTTTGGGATAAACAAGCCAGCATTTTACATTAATCATTGGATTTTTCATTTAAAATCATCCCTTTTTATTTGCTACCCATTAAAAAATTTACAATCTAAGCCACATGCAAACAACAAAGGTAAGGCGAATGGGTTCCATCTCACAGCACATACATTTACATGGAAAGCTATGAAACTGTTCAAAAGATAGCAAATTTCACAGGGGAACCAGGGGGTGAAAATGAAAAATTCTCCTACGTTACAAAAACACTAACAGTGTCATATCTGTTTACAAATATTTATAGATTTTTTTCTAATGAATATTTATCCTGCAGCTGAATGCTGCCCTGGGAGCAGGATTTACAAATCTGTATTAAAATGAAGCAGCCAGATAAAATAACAATGATTCCAGCCTCTAATACTCTTTTTTCCTAAAGGCAAATGGTGCTTTTATGCATCTCTTTGGTGGTGATGGAGAGCCAATGGCTAGCCATCGATGCCCTGAATTCAATAAAGCAGCCCACAAAAGTTATCAAATGCACTATTTTCATGGCAGACACAGAATTTCATGGTTTTGTGACTTTTGTGACATTGTGATTTATACCAGGCCATTTATAATTAAGCCATGAATAATTATGCAAACTCAAAATGGAAGATTTATAAAATAAAGCCAATATGTTCCCTGAGTTTTTGTGTTGTTAAATAGTTGGGGTTTTTTTAAAGTCTAAACAATTTAAAGCGGAGAGCTGGAAATCTATTGAAGTGGCCTTTAAAATGTTTCTTAAAGACAGAGGATTTAAACAAAAGTTGCAATACAATGCAGGAAGTGAACATAAATGCTTCTGAAAGGAAATCCTGCTTTCCAAATAAAAAGTTCATACAACAAACAGGCAGCTACAGACTAAACCAATGAAAAGGACACACAGTTTTTAGATTCTGAAATTGAGGTTTGCTTTCTCACAAACTTTCAGGAAATGCGTTCTTTACTACTGGATGTTTCTTTTGATTTTATTCTAGGTTTCCCCTCTAATTTCCCAAGATAGATTTCACTTACATAAGAAAGTGTGACAATTAAAAGCATGCACTAAATACATGATACGGGCATGAACTAACAGATATATGACTGTTCAGATGACAGGGAAAGACACATGACTAAGATGGAGAGCCTGATTCACCATTATATAACTCCAGTTTTATGCTGGAGTTATTCTATTGAAATTCAAGGAATCATACTGGTGTAAAACTGCAGTAGCTCAGGGTGCAGGAGGGGACAAAGCTGTGTCCTCACTTGAATTATGGATTTTGCTCCTCACCAATAAGGCTGAATATTTCCCCTCAATAGAAACTAGCATGGGCTCAGTCTTACATTCTTTACTCAGGCAAAACTCCCATTGGCTTTAAGGGGAAATTGCCCTTGAGTAAGAGCTGCAGGATCATGCGCTATAAATCCTAGGTGACTTTACAAAACACTAAAACACACAGAACATGATCTTGCACTTACAAGTGGCTGCATTCTCTGCACACCCGAACATCCTGAGTCCAATGGGAATTTTGGGTGTGCAAAGAATGCCAAATGCCTTCAATGACCTAGCAGGTCTTTTTCACTTCTAATTCCCATTTACTTTCTTTTTGTTGTATAAAAGAAAAAAAAAAAAGGAAGTCTGGGACATAGGGCCAAATTCTCTGACATCCTTATTTACATTACCCTTACACCTCGAGCAGTCCTACTAAAATCTCTGGGAGTTACGCAGAGTATCGGTTTCAGAATCTGGCCCAACATGAGCAATAGTGTCCAAACCTAGCCCTTATATGCTCTTCTTGATAGAGTTCTGATCATCTACATGGCAGTGACTCAGGTTTAGACTTTGTCTTTATGTGGCTCGCGCAAATGTGATGTGCCGCTTACAAACACTCGTGTCACCCGGGCACAAACATCCCTTTCCCTATTCTTCTGGAAGGAGTATGTTCTGGGAAAACATGAAATGGGCAAACAAGATCAAAAGGGCCAGGGAAACTGAGACAATGGCACCCAGGTCCCTCAAAAGAAAAACAAATTTTCTCCTTGCATATTGTCAAGTCTGCAGTACAACCCCCCACTAACTTATCCTGAAAAGCTGATCCACTAATAAAAGAAAAGCGTATATATAAGTGATTGTTTGACTTTAATGGAGCTACACTGTTTTACATCACCTAGGGAATGAAGCCCATATATATAAATATATACACCCACTTTCTACTACTCAGGTTAAATATATGCCCTTCAGCCCCGTGGCTAACTTAGTAAAGCATTTTATTGTGTCAAATACTTTCTTTAGTAACACGAACACAAACCCGTTGGTTTTTAATTTCTCTAACTGTTGCAAGTATAAACTTCCTGCAAATTTTAGACTGTTTGCTGAGGTTCAATAAAATGAAGATTTTTTAGGTCAACATTTTCTTCTGGCAGACTGAGCCTGAAGTGCACTTTATTTCCCTTTAATTTAACAGCTCCAGCAGCTTTTCCAGTTAAATCGACTGTTCATTATTGAGCCCCATTTATGAAGGGCTGTGCAGTGCAGTTTAATGAATCCTTGGCACAAAGCTCCCTTTCAGTGTAGGGAAAGAATAGCTGCCTATTTAGGTCCTGTAGGGCTGTATGTCAAAGGCTGCCCATAATGCTTGTCAGGGAAGGGCAGAAATTCCCACTGATATAAGAATGTGCAAGAAATCAACTTTCACAACCAACTAGCAGATTAAGACACGATCAGGAAATGAGGCTGTATACTTAGAACAGTGACACCTGTTTTGGCAGAGAGATTTTCCCATAACTTGATAACCACATAGGTCTGTACAACTGGGGGAAGGGGGGACAATTCCCTCCCCGCTCTGCCAAAGAGAATTTCCTCCTTTAATGCTGCCTTGCTGAGGCAATGGTGAAACAAAAACAAGTGCCATTAATTCCATGTACTGAAAATACCACAAACGTGATACTTAAAACTCTCAGGCTCTGATAGGGGATGGTCCTGCTAATAAGGAGCCAAATCCTGAAGTCTTTATTTAGGGCCAGATTCTGTTACCCCTTATTTGCGTTGTGTAGTATCTTGCTCTGTGAGTCAATGGGTCAGACTAGGAACTCTTCCCTCGCATTAGTGGGAGTGACTCTCAGAAGTAGCCCCACTGAAGTCAATAGGACAGAATCTGATCCCTGGTTTTATAAGTTTGGTTTTATAAGTCCTTACTCTATAGCTTCAGTGGGGCTACCCATGAAGGAAGGTGCTACTCAGCATGAGTAACGATGCCAGAATCTGGCATTGCAAGGCATTTGCTGACACCTCTGAAGCAAATGGCAATATCTGCTGTCTGCTCTGCTAAACTCAATGCTCAGTTTTTAAGGACAACATTGTGACTAAGGGCTGGATTTATGGATTGTGTGAGAGAACAGCTACACAGCAGCTGGGAGATAAAATTCCCAGCTCCGGTAAACATATCTGCACTAGCTCTGCTTGAGCCAGCAGCTAAAAATAGAAGTGTACCAGCCGCAGTGTGGGCGGCGGCTTGGGCATGTACCCAGCGGGGCAGGCGGGACTGTACGTGGGTGGCTAGTCTGAGCTACTGCCCATGCTGCCATGACCATGCTGCTATTTTTAGTTGCTAACTTGAGAAGAGCTAGTCTGTGTACATCTACCCAAGGTGGGAATTACACCTCCTAGCTGCTGTATCCTATGCCACTGGTCATTGTGAGTTACGTATCCCTCTCAGTGCTCAATCCACAGAGGATGTGGCCCTGTTACAAAGCCAGACTCTGAAGCTGCAGACACTCATGCTTTTAGCTCTGGAGGTTCCCCAGTTCAGTCCCTGGCGTTGGCCAAGATGGCAGTCATCACAAATGCACATGTGGAGGTGACTAAGGGGGGATATGATAGAGGTCTATAAAATCATGTCTGGTGTGGAGAAAGTGAATAAGGAAGGAAGCATTTCTTCGCACAACACAGTCAACCTGTGGAACTCTTTGCCACAGGATGTTGTGAAGGCCAAAACTAGAACAGCGTTCTAAAAAGAACTAGATAAGTTCATGGAGGATAGGTTCATCAATGGCTATTAACCAGGATGGTGTCCTTAGCCTCTGTTTGCCAAAAGTTGGGAATGGGCGACAGGGGATGGATCACTTGATGATTACCTGTTCTGTTCATTCCCTCTGAAGCACCTGGCATTGGCCACTGTCCAAAGACAGGATACTTGGCCTAATGGACCATTGGTCTGACCCAGTATGGCCATTCTTATGAGTTCATCTTAATATGTTTCAGCAAAAATACCGACCCAAAAAACCAAAACCCCAAATAAAACAAACATAAAACCCCATCCCTGATTGGGTTCCTTGCACAGGAAAGATGCAAGATTTGGGAGGCCTCACACAGGTTGCACACCCCTTGCACAGAGCCCAGCTCCTATATGGGGCTTTGAATGCTGTGAGATGGGCAAGGGCCAGAGCCAGAGGATGTTCTGCTACATGGCGTCTCTGGTCCTTGTCCTCCCTCTCCAAACCCAATTCTTCTGGAGGTCAGAAGAGAGGACTAGGAGGATGGTGGCAGTGAGTCAAGCCATTAGGTTGGAGCAGTGGTTGTTTTGTGGCTCTCCTCCTGAAGAGCCAAAGGGGAAAGCATTCCTCTCACCAGCTTCCCTCCGAGCAGTTTCCTGCACCCAGCTGGATTATCTGGCTGGATTCTGGGGTGAATATTTGAATCAGAATACAGGACTTGATCAGCCCAGAGTGACATGGGAAAAGCGAGAAACATGAGACAAGCATTGGCGTGCATAATTGTTACTAAAGAGAGGCATTTTGCAGGAATAACCAAATGACTATTTCCTTCCCTGAAACATCATTTCTTTGCAAGTTGTTGACATCATGTCGTTTAGCAAATTTCCCTCCTGACATTGCTCTACTGGAGGTAATCAGCTCTGCTTCGAAGAACAGAAAGAATATGCATGTTTAATGCAATTATGAGGGGGTTTTAATCTCCAAATCTTGCCTGTAATACGTAAATTCTGCTGCTTAGCACAACTAAAAGCAAACTTTGGTTCACAGACAGGGTCATTGTTTTAATGCTCTGCAATTTTTAGGATGTAATAAAGTCTTCCACTAAACTGTATCTGCATTAGTAAAGCTGTTTAATTGAATGAATCCAGCCTTATAGAATCGAATCTCGGGCTTTCAGCCTTTCTTTCTGATGTACCGGATATTCAGGCATTCTACATACAATGCCACCCAAACTCATTAAAAACCCTCTTTAGCAGGGGCTATGAAATATTGCTTGGATAATGCTGAAGCAACTGCTCATCTCATGATAACATAATTCTCACTCTATTTCTGAGCTGTCTCATGTCTGTCTGAAAGGAAATTGTCCCAAACTGGACATAGTCCATACAAAAGATCATGGCCCTAAATTTCCCACTGTCTTGTGCCCAGTGCAGTGCAATGTTAGTGCCTGGTAGTGGAGACTCAGGCTTCCTATAATTCTTTTCCTGTTTGCTGAAAGTGTTACATGAAACCCATGGACTGGTTTCCTGAGAGCAGGAGGGAGGAAGAGCACACACGGGAGCCAACTCTTCTCTCTGCCATGCCCCACCAGAGCCCTCACTTTCTGTTCCTGTCCACCAAGCAAGCCGAAGGGGCATGTGGACTTACATTCTCAGTACACAAGCGTGATACGGCCGACTGTTCTTTAGTGGTTGAAAGTTTTGATTGGTTTTTGCAGTCATCAGAAAGTAGAGATGGGACAGCCCACCTTGAGAGATGAACAGTCCTACAGTTGAGGGGATAGTGTTGCAAATTGCCCAACTCTTGGCTCTCATCAGAGTTAATGGAAGTTTGAGTGACTTTTACTGCAAAGTCAATAACTACTGCTAGGATCTAGGATAGCTACAGGCTGAGCAGTCCCCAGCTTCACCTCCACCAAGCCCCAGCCTCCGAGCCCCTTCTGCATGGAGGCCAGTTGAAGGAATTCTGCAGGTTCCAAGGGATGGGAGGACTGGGCTGCCACAGTGAAGAATTTGCAAGCCTATGAAAATGGGTAGCTTAGCAATCAGTTGGCAGTGCTCGCCAAAGAGGCCTGGAGACAGGAATAAAACACAGAGGACTTGTTACAGAGGGCCAGTAGATAGTGAGATACACAGACAGAGATGTATTTCCTAAAGCATTCTTTCCAAAAAGAAGGGACATTACCACGATAACACCCTGGGCCAAGTTTCTGCAACCAGTTCCACCAGTGAGATTCCAGAATACTTTCCCAGCCCTAGCTCTCTGTGGGAGCTCAGGCAAAATATGGAACAGGGTTTTGTCATAGGACCTAGGGAGTGATGGGGCTGCAAAGGATAGCTCAATGACAAGGTGAATCAGTTGGTACCAAATCCTATGTCTGTGAGTCTAACCCATGGGCTTTATCCACAGCTGTGGCCTGGGCATACAGGAGCTATGTGCTGTTGCCTCCAGGCTGAATCGAGGACTTTACTCCCATGCAGAATACTTACACAAAAAAATCTTCTGCTCAGGTTTTGTGTGAGAGACCAGGATTTCACCCTCAGTCTGTATTCCGACAAATGCTTGCCGATGTTAAATTGGAAGCTCTTTGGAGCAGGGATGGTCTTTTTGTTCTGTGTTTGTACAGCATCGATCACAACGGCGTCCTGGTTCACGAGAGGCGCTTCTAATTGCTACCACAATACAGAGAAATAATATTAATAATAATACAGTTAATGGGAGTTTAGCGGAGTAAGGATTGCAGGATTTAGCCCTAATTTAAACACCATGATTTATGTGGTTTGCTTATGAAACAAGCTTGTTTTTGTGCATTTCATGGAGCTGGGTTTCTGAAATTGTTCTCATACCATTTCAGTCTGAACAGAAATCACAGAAGTCAGCCATGCTGACCATGTGGAATTACCTGAATTGTACATAAAACTATTGTTTACAACCTACTGGCATTTAAATGATATCAGTCTGGGTTGCCTCTTAGAGGCAGTAGGTAGGGGGCTAATTTTAGTGGGAAGTTTCAGAATGGGGATAATCAGTGTTGCTGGACCAGTTTTTAGAGTGAGGGTGCTGAGCTGCGCCTCCCCTTACCTTTGTCCGTGCCCCTCATCGGCCCCTACAGCAGCAGTTTTCAAAGTTCAGGTCATGACCCAGTACTGGGTCGTGGAATGCAAGGCACTGGGTCGCCTTGCTCAGCACCCAGAGACCCTGGCGGCTAGCCAGTAAAAACTAGTAGTAAAACTAGTAGTCCCCACCTGGAAGCGGACAGCAGCAGGTCTGGCTCGTAGGCAGGGGTGGCACGGGGCTCCACACACTGCCCCCGCCCTGAGCACCGGCTCCACACTCCGGCCAATGGGATATGGGGGGGCGGTGCCTGTGGGCGAGAGTCGCGCAGAGCCGCTTGTGTACCTCCGCCTAGGAGCCGGACCTGCTGGCCGCTTCCAGGATGCAGCACGGTCCGCGGTGCCAGGACAGGCAGGAAGCCGGCCTCTGCACCCCGGCTGCGCTTCTGACTGGGAGCCGCCAGAGGTAAACCCACACCCCAATCCCCTGCCCCAGACCTGAGCCCCCCCAAAACCCGGAGCCCCTTCCTGCACCCCACACCCTTCATCCTCAGCTCCACTGCATCATGGGCATCAACAATTTTCTTCAATTGAGTCACCAGAAAAAAGAGTTTGAAAACCACTCCCCTAGAGCTAGGGCCAGGAGCCAGGACATGGCTGGGCTCACAGCTGGCGGTGGGGGCGGAGCCCCAGGCTGGGTCTGGGGCTGGCGTGAGGCCGGTAACCGGGTGTTGGGCTGGCAGCCAGGGCAGGCAGCCAGGACCCCAGGCACGGGTCCCGCAGTTGGGACCCCCCGCAAAACCTAGGGCTGCTGCAGCACCACCCGCATCCCTAGTTCCCGCGCCTATGGGAGTAATTTCAGAAAAATCAGTGTGGAGAAACAACACATGTAGAAAGGCAAATACAATAAGCAGCAGTAACTATTGCAGACAGTCAGAATGCCTGAAAGCCACTGTATAGACTGGATTGAAAAGCACTCTAGAATTTAGCACTCCATTTAGCATTGTACCTACTAGAATATCACTGAAAGCTTCACAGATTCATATGATTTATCTAAGGATGAGACTGTTCAGCAAGAGAGTTTTCTGAGGATTCAGAGCAAACATAGAAGGCCAAATTCAGATTTGGTGACCATGGGTTTGCTCCATTGATCTCAGTTGAGTTGCACCTTCTTACACGAAGTCAGAATTTGGACCAGGATATTTAAGGGCTTGATTAGTTTTTAATAATGAAGCTTCCTCTGCTAACTATAATTAAGATCTCTCTAGGCACAAGAACCTGAGGACTAGGAGGAGTGAGTTTGCTCTCCAAATTGGGTGTTTCCCTAGCTCTCACAGTTTGAGTGACTGCAAATTCAACTAAATGGCAACTTCAACAAATTCACAAAAAAATGGCAGATGAAATCCAATGTTGATAAATGCAAAGTAACGTACATTGGAAAACATAGTACCAACTATATATATAAACCGATGGGGTCTAAATTAGCTGTTACCACTCAAGAAAAAAGAAAAGGAGTACTTGTGGCACCTTAGAGACTAACCAATTTATTTGAGCATAAGCTTTCGTGAGCTACAGCTCACTTCATCGGATGCATCCGATGAAGTGAGCTGTAGATCACGAAAGCTTATGCTCAAATAAATTGGTTAGTCTCTAAGGTGCCACAAGTACTCCTTTTCTTTTTGCGAATACAGACTAACACGGCTGCTACTCTGAAACCACTCAAGAAAGAGATCTTGGGAGTCATTGTGGATAGTTTTCTGAAAACATCCACTGAATGTGCATCAGCAGTCAAAAAAGCGAACAGAATGTTGGGAATCATTAGGAAAAGGACAGACAATAAGACAGCAACTATCATATTGCCTCTCTATAAATCCATGGTATGCTCATATTTTGAATACTGCATGCAGATCTCGTTGCCCCATCTCAAAAAAGATATATTGAAATTGGAAAAGGTACAGAAAAGGGCAACAAAAATGATTGGGGTATGGAACAGCTTCCATATGAGGAGAGATTAATAAGACTGGGAGTTCTCAGCTTGGAAAAGAGATGACTAAGGGGGGATATGATAGAGGCCTATAAAATCATGACTGGTGTGGAGAAAGTAAATAAGGAAGTTATTTACTCCTTCTCATAACACAAGAACTAGGGGCCACCAAATGAAATTAATAGGCAGCAGGTTTAAAACAAACAAAAGGAAGTATTTCTTCACACAATGCAGTCAACCTATGGAACTCCTTGCCAGAAGATGTTGTGAAGGCCAAAACTATAGCAGGGTTCAAAAAAGAACTCGATAAATTCATGGAGGATAGGTCCATCAATGGCTATTAGCCAGGATGAGCAAGGATTTTAAACCATGCTCTGAAGTGTCCCTAGTCTCTGCCAGAAGCTAGGAATGGACAACAGGGGATGGATCACTTGATAATTACCTGTTCTGTTTATTCCTTCTGAAGCACCTGGCATTGGCCACTGTCGGAAGACAGTACACTGGGCTAGATGGACCATTGGTCTGACCCAGTACAGTATGGCCATTCTTATGTTCCCAAACCAAACCAAATTTACCAGTTTAACTTTTCTTTGGAAACGCTGATACATGAACTCTCTGTTAGTGAAGTCATTGTTTTCTGCAGAAACAAACTTCACTATAATTAGGATATGAAATTTGGACATTGCAATGTTTTTAAACAATTGAGGATTTTCATTTTACTCTACAAAACAGTTTCACTCAATCCAAAATTCACTTTGAGCAGGCTCTGCTGCAATTGCTTGAGAAAGATTTAAAGAATTGACACTATGATTTTGCAGTGAATTTAGTTTAGTCCCTTTGACTCTCTCAGGATATACAAGATTTCCCATTTTTTTTTTAAAGTCTTAAATAATATGTCTTTACCTGTTTTCTTTTAATGGAAAATTAAATAAAATTTTAAAAATAAAGATTTCAAGGCAGATCCTTTTGTACTTGAACAGACCTTTGAAATTATCCTATTTTATCTAATTTTTAAAATCTAGACTATTTTATTTCCAATCCTGAATGGATTTAGGCACATACTTAACATGTAGCTAGTCCAATTAAAGTTTCTGTAGGACTGGGGCCTTAGAGTTTTTCCAAGACCTGCCTAGACTTGGAAAATAAGTCATGTTTAAAAACATGTTTCCAAACACACTTTAACTAAAATGCTTTAAAACACTAGCGTAGATTAGTGTAGCTCCCCCCATCCTTGTTATCACTCTTCACACTGAGAGACCCTTTTAAGCTAGGGTTACCAGTAAATACATATGTAATGCTGCTTTAGTGGCGTTTAAAAGCATGTTAGCTAACACGTTTATAAGCTCAACCTGTTTCCTGGGCCACAAGGGCCTAAAGCACTCGTCACTGTGATGTCCAACCACCACACAAACAATAAAAATTAGCTCGGGATGTGCCCTAAATGACAGTTGCCATAAGCGAATGAAAACAAAGGGTTAACAATCAGCTCAACTCCTGGTCCCTCCTTTTTTTTTTTTTTTTTTTTTACAAACACGGCATCATTAGCCCCCTCCTCTTCCACCTCTTCCAAGAACTAATGAACTCCCTTGGGGAGGGGAAAGCAAGTCGACCAGGAGCTGGTGTAGCGATCCATAGTTTGCCTTGGTTGTCCCCTCCCAGGCAGCAGCAGGACCAAGGGTTTGCAGAGCACCCTGGCAGGACCATGACACACACACACGGGGGGCACAGCGGACAACCTTTCACCAAGGGCAAAAAGTAGCTTCCCCGCCCAGGCGCTGAACGCACCAGCAGCTGCAGCGGCCGGGGGCAGAGGAGAAGGGAGGCGATGGCTGTGCAAGCTGCTATCCTCAACCCCCATCACTTCATCCCCTTCTGCTTCCCTGCCTCCGGGGGCCTGGCGGACTATGCTGACCTTGAGAAGAGCTACGAGGACGGGGCAGCCGCTCTCCTGGGAGAAGGAGGAGGAGTGGGGGGAGGAGAAGACCCAGGGGATTTAAAAGAAGCCACCAGGGACCTGCTGAGCTTCATCGACTCGGCGTCCAGCAACATCAAGCTGGCCCTGGACAAGCCGGTCAAGTCCAAGAGGAAAGTGAACCACAGGAAGTACCTGCAGAAGCAGATCAAGCGCTGCACGGGCATCATCGCCCCCGCCCCGGCAGCGCCAGCCCCGGCCGGGGGCCAGGAGCTGCCCAAGCGGCCGGCCCCGCCGGCAGGGGCCGCCTCGCCCCAGCCCTCCTGCCCGCCCGGCCCCGCCGGCCACGGCAAGCCCCCTGCCAAGCGGGAGGCCTCGCAGGCGGCCAGCAGCCTGCAGAGCAAGAGCCTGGCCGCCCTCTTCGACTCCCTGCACCAGGGCCGGGCTGGCGAGAAGGGCCCGGCCGCCGGCGGGGGCGGCGGCGGGGGCAGCGGCGGGGGCGGCCCCCGCAAGGTGCCGCTGCGGAACCGCAACCTGCCCCCTTCGTTCTTCACCGAGCCGGCCGCGCCGCCGCCCCGCGCCCCGCCGCTCAGCGCCAGCCCCAAGGCGCCGGAGCCGGGTGGCGGCAGCCCGGAGGCGGCGGAGTTCTTCGAGCTGCTGGGGCCCGACTACGGCGGCCTCCTCCCGGAGCAGCCCCCCGCGCACGAGGGCTTCCCGGCCCGGCTGCCCCCGGAGCTGGGCATGGAGCCCGCCCTGTACGAGCCCCACCTCCCGCCGCTGCCCCCGCACCTGCTCGGGGGGCTGCTCTACCCCGAGCCCGCCTGGAGCCCCCCCGCCAAGAAGAGCTCCCCGGCGGCGGCTCCCTGCAGCAGCCTGAGCCTGCCCGAGACCTTGCGGCCCCTGCCTGCCATGGGGGCCCCAGGAGCGCCCATCTACCCGGCCAGCTCGGACCCGGCCCCCGCGGGCGGCGAGGAGAGCCCAGCCCAGCTGGCCGCCGCCTTTGCTCCCTACTTCCCCGACTGCCCCCTCCCGCCGCCTCCTCCCATGCCTTATGAGTACAGCGCCGGGTACAACAGGGTGGCCTATTCGGGCCTCTAGGGGAGGCTCGGGATGGAAGGCTGGGCTGGCAAAAAGCCGAGATCACTTTAATTCCCCCTCCCTTTACACTGTTTGATTTAGGACAATAAACTCAGAAAAAAAAAAACGGGAGGGGAGGAGGGGGGCGCTGTGGAATGGGGATCACACCCACTTAGCCCTTAATCCTGGGGCTGGGTTATAGCTGATAATTGATAATCTGATGGGTTTCCTTCCATAGCTGGAGTTTTTTGGTTTGGTTACTAGTCCGGATTCTTCTCTCCTATACACCAATGTAACTCCATTGACTTCAATACAGTCAAGGGCCTGATCCAAAGCCAACTGAAGTCAATGGGTTGACTTTTCACTAACTTCAGGGGGCTTTGGTCCAGACACTACTGGCACAGAGAAAAAGGTCAAGCTTTCTTTAGCTGCAATAAATTTAGGGCCAGATTTTGCCATAGAGCATAATATCTTACTCTGCTAGTAGTCCCACTGAGAATAACACAACTGTTTCATAAGAGTGGCAGAATCTGGTCTTTAGGGTTTTATTTGCCTTCACATTCTGAACAGTCTCCCCTCTCCTTGTTCGGATTCTATCACTGCACATAATAAAAATGTAAACTATTTTATTCTTTCAGGTGTTTTATAGTGCACAGTAACTACATGTTGTTAGCATTATTTGAGATACGTTTTTATTTTACTGTAGGCAAATACAGTTGATTTACATTTCTTATGTTACATTGCAACGGGGGCTGCTTTTTCTTTAAAGCAGCCGTGACCAATTGTGAGTGACTTGAGTTTAAAAGTAAAACTCAGTCAGCTCTTACAGTGTATTTAAAATCTTGATCCACACTTGTGTGCGTCATAAGTGCTGGCAGATTTTCAACAGAGGACACAAACAAGTGCAAAAATAATTTAAAAAAGTCAAGAAAACAACAAAAATAACTATAAATGCTGTTACCAAATCTTAGTGTCCTGAAATTCAACAATGTGTTGCAGAATATTGCAAACAGCAATACTATAATAAATAAGTTAATTGATGGCATAATGTTCTGGACAAAATGTACTGTAGCAACGTGATTCCCACAAACTGTGTTGGATTTCTTTCAGGAATGTGTCAAAGCATTGAAAGTGACAGATCCGTTCTATTGTGTACAGGAGATTATTTGATAATCATTTAAATTATGTAAAAGAGTCTATGATGAGTCCTATAAAAATAAAGCTGCACAATAGCTTAAAGACCTGTGGCTGTTACTACTGTTGGAACGAAATACACTAGAGTCTCTCCCACATCTTCATTTTTGGTAAAGTTCATTCACTAGATTTGGCTGGCAGAATTTAAGACAGTCTAGTGGTCACTTTTCTCTTTCCTAAATCCTCTGAAATGCTGTACTTTACCCTCAACAACCTATTCCTGTTTTGTGTTCTCTATTGAGTGTTTCAGTAAGATACTGGAATGACAGGAATTGTAGCAAATTATTATAAAGCCAAGGGATCAACATACTTACTTTCAGGAAACTAGTTCAACAGACTGTTAAGTTTCCTTTTGGGGAGTTGGTTGGGATGCCTATCTTAAAAGGCAGCTCTGGATTTTGGCTTTGGGCCAGTTAGAATTGGATTGTTTGTTTTTAAAATGGGAGTCAGATGGACAAGAAGTGTGAGGTATGGTGGACCAAATAGTACTCCCAGGGATGGCAAATCATTCTAACCTATGATATTGAAGGGAATTAAGAATAAAATGCCTCTTTCATTAACAAGTGCAAATACCGTTTTTAACAGAGATTTATGGTTAAGAACATTAAGATGTATGGAAGGGGAAGTGTGACTTTAAATAACACTTTGGAAATAAACGATTAGTCTTTCATCTAACTGTTTCAGTAATGGGCTTAATTTTACTTTTAAACAACAAAAATAATAGCTTATATTTATACAGCACCTTTCATCCAAAAAGATCCCCAAGTGATTTACAAATAACCTACCCATGTATACAGGAATCACTTCACTGAAAAGCAGGCACACTGGGCTGATATGAGGCATCTGTTTAATAACTGCACAGTGCTGTATTGTACACTGTAAATTCAATGCACTTTTAAAATATTGATTTTACAATAGTTTATTTCACTAAGCTTAAAAGAATGTATAAAAAACAATGGACAGCCAGTCCAGCCTATGTAGATAAATAAGAGAACCCTGACTCCTTGGTCAATTATAGTACAGAGTAGTATCATACTATGTTTGCTCAATTCTGTAGCCTTTACTTAGGCAAATCTACTGAAAAGTCTGGGAGTTTTGCTTTTTTCAGAGTGCAGCGTCAGAGCCAGTGTAACATCATGTAGTTACATTTTAGATTGTCAGGACAAGGTTGATTTCAATCCCATTTGAGTTGGTAAATTTTCTACGGTCTGGTAATGGTTTTGTTCTATTCTCTGTATGTGATTTTGTAGCAGTTTTGGACCATTATGTTTCCTCTTGGGACACTTCAGATCTAATGGCCTTGCACTGATATATTTAGCATAATATTACTTTGTCATTGAACTTTCTGACTTGAGGCATGATCCTGAATCCTTTGCACACTCAACACTCCCAGTGATTTAAGGGAAATTTTGGGTGTACAAGGGAGGGTTGGCCCATTGACTTTAATACATTAATAAGGGGTATGTTTTCACCTGAACTTTTTATTGAGCAATTTTATTTGTCTCTCAGGCTGCTGAAACCCTGCATATGAAAATTTATAATCACTGGAATCCTTATACTATTTCAGGCAAAATTCCCACTGACTTCAATGGGAGTTTTGCTCAAATAAGGACTAACTGAGGTCTTCAGGAATGGACTTTGGAAGAGAAGAATTACAATATACCAGTTAAAAGAAAAGGAGTACTTGTGGCACCTTAGAGACTAACAAATTTATTTGAGCATAAGCTTTCATGGGCTACAGCCCACTTCATTGGATGTGTTGAATGGAACATATAGTAAGAAGATTATATATATATATACATACAGAAAATCATGAAAAGGTGGGAGTTGTCATACAAACTGTAAGAGGCTAATTAATTAAGATGAGCTATTATCAGCAGGAGAAAAAACTTTTGTAGTGATAATCAAGATGGCCCATTTAGACAGTTGACAAGAAGGTGTGAGGATACTTAACATGGTGAAATAGATTCAATATGTGTAATGACTCAGCCACTCCCAGTCTCAATTCAAACCCAAGTTAATGGTATCTAGTTTGCATATTAATTCAAACTCAGCAGTTTCTCATTGGAGTCTGTTTTTGAAGCTTTTCTGTTGCAAAATTGCCACCCTTAAGTCTGTTACTGAGTGGCCAGAGAGGTTGAGAAGGTACTGACTCATTCTCCATTGCCCTGCACCTTGTGTAGGCATTGACATCTGTTCAAAGAGGGTGTAAAATGCTGACTTTGTAGCATTTTACACTCATTTTGCACTCTGCCCTTGTGTAAATGACTAAACAAAATGCAGGGAGATAGAAAATCAGTCTCATTGGGTCTGATGCTCCTCTCACATCAGTGTGAGAAGCAACTCTGTTGAAATGAGTGGAGTTACGAGTTATGCTGGTATAAAACCAATGTAGCAGCCTGATCTTACTTCTACTGAGGTTATAAAAGGACTCTTTCTGTTGACTTCAGCAAGAGTTGGATCAGGCTCACTGAACCAAAGCTAGAAACGCTTTTCTCACCTTTTACTCAGTCCATACTCAGGCAAAACTCCCATTGCCTTAAATGAGAATCTTACTTAAGAACTTCGGGATTTGGCCCACTGAATATATTTTAAAATTAGTGTTCACTTACAGTGCTAATATATTTCTGGTATAGAAGTATTTTAGAGGTAATCTGCACAACAGTTATTGCAAAGCAAACTGAGTGTCTGACAACACTAAAGCAGCTAACAATGGTTGAGTTGATCTAAACAATTGTTTCCCCCTGACAAAAACCAAACAAAGGACTTCTATGCAACTTTAAAAAAAAGAATTGTGTGCCACACTGCATGCCTTGAAGTGAAGGTGATTGGATCATTTCCAGATTGAATAGCGCCACCTACTGCAGCTGAAAGGCTGTGTTATGTTCTCTGCGTTTTGTGTGGGCTTTTATTTTTGCAGGTTTGCACAAGCTTAATAATATAGTCATAATGTAAATACCATACAGAAGCCCCATTTACACTTAAATACTGTTGGGAAATTACTATAACTATTTAAAAGCCCAATATTGAGTGTTGGTCCAAATAAAATTTTTTATAACTGAACAGGGTATTGTGTCCAATGTGCTTTTACAAGAAGTCACTGTCTTCTTTTTTGAGAACTAAAATTGATCCTTTTTAGCTTTTGTTTTTTTTAAAGAAGTATTGTGTTCCTTTTAATACAAATAGATAGAGATACATTTCCCAGCTGGTTTTATTCTTCACTGAAATATATATGTTTCCTTATGAGGATCTATTATTAAATCATCAAAATAACTTTTTTTTAAATAACTTTTAAAAAGGGCCCAGGTAATACATCAAATTTGCAAAGTTCTGTTTTGTGGCTGAAATATTTTATGCATGTTGTATTGTTTGACCAAAATCGTCTCTGGAAATGAATATACAAATGGGTTAATTTTTATATGCAGTAAAGATGATGAAATAGGTGCAAAATAATAAGAACCCCTTTATTTTTAAATGGTGGAAACATATTTTTCTATAATGATGATTGACTGATGAGACTAACAAAGGGATCACAACTAATATCGAGTGTTTTTGATATCCCATGATTTAAAAAGTCTGGGCCTTATTCAAAGCACATTGAAAGCAAAGGAGTCTTTCCACTGACTTCAGTGGGCTTTGCTGGATTAGGCTCCCTAGTGTCTTGAAGACCTGAGGCTGAAATTGATCTGATGCATTCTAATTATTAATTTAATAATGAGTCATCCATTTAATGTTAGGAAAAAAAAGGTACAGAAATAATTGTAAAACATTGGTTCTTTGCCTGTGAATAAACTGGTTTTGGCAACAATGCACAAATGGAAGGTAATCCTGCAGTTACTGACAACAGGAATAATAAAAATATGTTGGCTGATTCTTTAAAGAATATGAGATGGATAAAAATTGAGTGACATGTAAGCAAACATGTTGGAAATATCAGGGGTCCAATCTTGCATGCCCAGGGACTGGTCTGACTGGAATTTTCAGCATCTCAGACCAGGGCTTTGGAGCGGAGCCAGGAGCTGGAGCGTGGAGCTGCAGGTTTTTTCCTGGAGCTGGAGCAGAGCCGGAGCACAGCTCCAAAGCCCGTCTCAGACAATCATGTCCTACCAGCTCAAGTAAGGTCTCCTGAGTCCTGATTTGTGCCCTATCCACCAGACCAATATTTTTCATCTATGTCAGGTGGGCAACTCCTTATTCAAAGTCAAACTTCACCACTCCCTTTCATTTACTATGAAAATGTATCAATGATAAGTCTAAGTAATTTATTTGTGTCTGTGTTTCGAGAGCTTGACGAGACTACTTGATCTTGAAGAGTAAGGGTGTGCGGGGAGTGGTGGAGCAATATTTTTTTTTTGCTTTAGATTGGAATAACATTTTCAATTTGAACACCCTCCCCCCCACCAACTTGGGATTCATGACCCACTGGTGGAGAAACACACTAGACCATTCTCTCTGCCCCACTAAAGCTTGAGTAAGAAGAGCAAGATGTGTCCCTAAAAGAAGAATATGAGGATGGAGCTGAGCAATATTTCTACTAAATTTAAAAGGGGCCGTGTGTGGGATTTTTTCCCTTTTCTTTCAAAAAATCTGTGGTGGTGACATACTTTATTTGGCGAAGAAGTTAGGATCTCAAGGGGAAGCAAACATTAACAGCCTGATCTTGCACTCCCTGAGTGTCCATGTCCTCCATGGAATTTTTGGGTGTGCAAAAAATTCTGGATTGGCCTCCAGATTAGGAAGTAGGGTCCTGTTCAAGCTATCTGGTAACATTTTCTGTAGTATAACCATTGACATGGAAAGGCTATGTTTCATGATGCTGCTTGCTGGTATTTTAAACTTCCATCCCTTGGACTCCAAAGTTTCTTTTAGACCTCTGGAAAAAAAAGTTGTCATCGTGCTAAGACGAAAGCCTTTAATTGTCACTATTTGCAAATAGTCCCACCAGGCCAAGAGACAGGCTTTGCTAACCAGGCAGGAAGAACAGCAGAAAAGCCTACAGGACTTTATAAGAGAGCAGGCCAGCGTGCACCAGCAACTCCTGCAACAAATGGTGAGTCCCACAGTAGGGGAAGGCACCTGGCCGCCAAGCTTGGGACTCTGTAAAATGGGGCCAGTGGATGACCCGGATGCCTTCCTTGGTACGTTCATGCGGGTAGCCACGGGTGCCGGATGGGATAGGGCTACCTGGGCCCTACGTCTGGCTCCCTACCTAGCAGGCGAAGCTCAAGTGGCCTACGTGGCATCGAGTGATGAACAGGCCAGGAACTATGAGGTGGTGAGGGTGGCTGTCCTAGACCGGGTGGGTTTGTCGGCAGAGAAATACCGCCAAAAGTTCCAGTTGACCCAATGGATGGGGGCTGTGCGGCCCTGGGCATTCGCCCAGAGATTGATGAACGGGACCACCCGCTGGCTGAGGCCTGAGACGCAAATGGTGGGGGAAATAATGGACACCCTAGTCCTAGAACAATTGCTACAGGGCCTCCCTGATACTATCTGATTCTGGGTCAGGCGACATCAGGCAAGTACAGTCGATGCAGTGGTCAAGCTGACCAAGGAATACATGGAGGCAGACATCCCCCAAAGGGAGGGCTGACCCTATAAGCTCATAGAGTGGGGGAAGAAATCGAGGGAACCTCTCCCTGGGAAAGGCCTGGAGAGGAAGAAGGAGGAACCCTGAGGAGCTCCCAATAGAGCCGGTGTGATCGTTTGTTGACAGTGCAGGCGGCCAGGACATGAAAAGGGAGACTACCCAGACATGGAATGTGGGTGGGACGAATTTTGCGGCTGGACTAATGCTGGAGGGCAGGAAAGGGGGCAGAGGTTGTCCACCATCCCGGTGAGGGTGGGAAGGAAACCCCAGAGGGGCCTGGTGGATATGACTTCAGCCTGCTTGCTCGTCCACAGGGGGCTGGTAAAACCGCAGTGGATAATTCCAGGTGCACGGATGGCCCTGGAGTGTATCCACTGGCAGGAAATACTTTCCGATGACCCAGGTGCCCCTAGAAGTGTGGGGCAGATTTAAATGGAACTGGTTCAGGTAGTAGAGGGGTTACCATACCCTGTTGTGTTGGGTACAGACTGGGGCCCTCTCCCTGGAAGGAAAAGGAAAGGTTCCCTGAAGAAGGGGCTGGGGACCCCTAGACTGAGAAGCCCCGGTAAGGAAGAAGAGCAGGGTCCTTGGGGAAGCGAACACAAAACCCTAGGCAATAGAGCCCAGGTAGGATAGAAAGAGGGGAAGGAGGTGCGGGGGAGAACATAAAATGGCCATATTGGGTCAGACCAAAGGTCCATCTAGTTCAGTGTCCTGTCTTTCAACAGTGGCCAATGCCATATCCCCCAGAGGGAATGAACTAACAGGTAATCATCAAGTGATCCATCCTCTGTCGCCCATTCCCAACTTTTGGCAAACAGAGGCTAGGGACACCATCCCGGTTAATAGCCATTGATGGACCTATCTTCCATGAACTTATCTAGTTCTTTTTTGAACCCTGTTATAGTCTTGGTCTTCACAACATCCTCTGCCAAGGACTTCCACAAGTTGACTGTGCATTGTGTGAAAAAATACTTTATTTTGTTTGTTTTAAACCTGTGGCCTATTAATTTCATTTGGTGACCCCTAGTTCTTGTGTTATGAGAAGGAGTAAATAATACTTCCTTATTTACTTTCTCCACACCTGTCATGATTTTATAGACTTCATCTTCCTTTAGTAGTCTCGTTTCCAAGCTGAAAAGTCCCAGTCTTATTAATCTCTCCTCATACAGGAGCCATTCCATACCCCTAATAAATTTTGTTGCCCTTTTCTGAACTTTTTCCAATTCCAATATATCTTTTTTGAGATGGGGTGACCACATCTGCACACAGTATTCAAGATGTGGGCGTACCATGGGTTTATATAGAGGCAATATGATATTTTCAGTCTTATTATCTACCCCTTTCTTAATGGTGCCCAAAATTCTGTTAGTATTTTTGACTGCTGCTGCACATTGAGTGGATGTTTTCAGAGAACTATCCACAATGACTCCAAGATCTCTTTCTTGAGTGGTAATGCCTAATTTAGACCCCATCATTTTATATGTATAGTTAGGATTATGTTTTCCAATGTGCATTACTTAGCATTTCTCAACATTGAATTTCATCTGCCATTTTGTTGCCCTGCCACCCAGTTCTGAGAGATCCTTTTGTAGGTCTTCGCAGTCTGCCTGGGACTTAACTATTTTGAGTAGTTTTGTATCATCTGCAAATTTTGCCACCTCACTGTTGACCCCTTTTTCCAGATCATTTATGAATATGTTGAATAGATCTGATCCCAGTACAACCCCCAGGGGGACACCACTATTTACCTCTCTCCATTTTGAAAACGGACCATTGATTCCTACCCTTTGTTTCCTATCTTTTAACCAGTTACCTGTCCATGAGAGCACCTTCCCTCATATCCCATGACAGCTTAGACAGAGATGGCCAGCCCAAGCCTCTTAGAGGGAGAAAAGGGGCAACTGGAGCTCCCCACAACGCAGCTCCCAGGCGAGAAGACACGGACCCCGCTTGGTGCTTGGGAGAACCTGAGGCCCGTGGTGTCCTGGAGAAGATCGGGACTGACCCCCAACCCCCTACCGGAAGAAAAGGGGATAAAGGAGAAGGGATGCCCGCAGGGGTGCGACTGGTGTAAGGACCTGTGGGTGGTGGTAAAGCTATGGGGGCATCCACCCCCCGCAAAGCGTACTTTTTGAGGGTAGGAGATGAAGGAACCCCTCCGAAATGATTCTGGGGATCACCCAAAAGAAGGGGAGAGACTCCCCTGGACAAACCCCGCTGGCAGGGGGCGGAGAGGATGAGGAAGGATGAACCTGGCAGTTCATCACAGGGGAGGTGTGTGACAGGGTGCTGGCTAAGGAAAACTGAGCCAGGCCTCTGTCACACCAGCTCCAGTCAAGAATGGGGAATTGGAGCTGGCTGAGTAAGCCCAGGCCTGATTGGCAAATGGGGAACTTGTTAGCCAGGGGCCTCGTTAGCCAGGGGCTACATAAAGGCTGTAGGAAAGAAGCCAGGGGGAGAGTGGAAAGGGAGAAC